TCTATCTTCCGTGTGCATCTGCTGCCTCAGGAGAGAGACATTGTTGTATGCCGCGACGGCTCCGTCGAGCGCGTTGACGCCTTTCCACGGCTCACCGGCCGCGTGTGCTGTTCGGCCCTTGAACTCGACGAGCGTGCCTTGGCAAGCAATGAGCTTCATGCCCGCCAGGCCCGAGAAGCCCCCCTGGGAGACATACTCTATCGGCATGGGGTGAGCCATGATGGCCGCGACGACGCTCTCGGGAGGGTTGAATGCGCCCGCCTCGACGAGGTCCTGCTTGCCTCCGCCGGACTCTTCTGCCGGCGTTCCCAGGAGTCTGATGCGGCCGTCGATTTTGAGCGCCGACATGGCCGCTGCCGCTCCCAGGAAGGCCCCGATGGACGAGATGGCAATGAGATTGTGGCCACAGGCATGGCCAATCTCTGGCAGGGCGTCATACTCGGCACAGAAGATGACTTGTCTATCGCCAGATCCAACCGTGGCATCAAAGCTCGTGGCCAATCCCCACGCGCTCCTCTCCACCTGGAAACCAAGTTTCTCGAGGTAGGCGGTAATGGTGTCATGGGCGATGAACTCCTTGTATGCAAGCTCTGGATTTGCATGGAGCGTCCTGTTCACTTGATGCAGGCCGTCGTCCAACTCGTCCAACTTGGCGTTGACAATGGCACGAGCCTGGGTTACAGTATCGACTGTCACGGGACTCATTTCTTCTCTTCTTGATGAGACTATCACGATAGACAACAGTGAAGATGCGAGCGAGGTTTGGAAACGAGCTGACTGAAGGGCTCTGTGCCATTTATACGCCGAGAGCAAGCATAGAAAAGACCCAAAACGGTGAGGCACAGAGTATTGCCGACCGTCGGCAAACGTCACAACGCTGGCTGGTTTACACCAATTACATGCTTCACCATCAACCCCGCGAGACAAAATACCCACACTCTGACCGGCAGCTTCCATGGCCTGCGTTCTCCCTCGGGTACAGCTTCCTTGCTTTAGCTTATGAACTAAAATTCGGACTTTGTTCGGGCGCGTCGGACCGGTGCGGTCGATGCTGTCCGGGCTCGCAGAAGGCTGGAACCAGAGGGATACTGTTGACAGATGATAAGCATCATTAAACTCTGGGGCCATTGTCAAATCCACCAAATGGGTGGTGGGCTGGAAACGCCTAAGCCACTTCAGTGACAGGTAGAACAGAGCTTTCCGTGCCAAAGCCATCACTATACGTGGAGGTGAACGAGTCTTGTTCTGGCTTGAACACGTTTCCTTTCAACTACGGTGATGGTCTAGATTTAACCCATCACCACGTCGAGGCATCCATATGCTTCAAGACCACACGGAGAGAGACAGCGAATGTGCTGACCGTGGTAGGCTCGTTACTCAAGGCGCTGGAGATGGATATGAGTACCCTGATTCGCTCGGGGTCCTGCCGCCACGTGGACGAGTAGAGAAGCATAGAGGTGCTGCTTCTGTCATGGTAAATATTATGCAATGGATACATGCGTGTGCGTGTGTTATAGTCTGATTCTCATCAACCGTCCGTCTTGATGTTTTGTTTACCAAGATGGTGAATCCACTATTCCTTCTTGGACTGATAGTTATTTTGGACGATAGGCCATGCCATAGCGGGCCAGGGGCTTGAATTGTAGTATGATTGAGTCCAGAGTCATTAAAATTCGCCCGCCGCACGGGGCCGAGAGTTATTGTCTTGATAGATCCCATGTACCAGCACCCCTTGTTCCCATGATGCGTATGGATTTCGACGTTGAAGCCTATAAGCCCTTTAGCTATATCCTTTCTATCATTGGTTTTACAAAGAGGTTTGAGTAAAGGCCGTTTCTCCGGAGGCTTGGAAAACTGCTGGATATTAGTATGCAGTGTTGATCCTTATGCTAGACATTATCGTATTTAAAACGCAATGATGAAGGAACAATCTGTATAAATGCTTAGTTATATTAACAGAGACAGCACACATACCTTTCTGTTACACGGAAATCGCAGGTTACACAAGGGCTACGGTCACGGGATTAGGGCAGAAGGCCCTCACCGACTTCTTGTATAAATAGACGGCTTTGGTCCCTCAAGGCCTTGAGGAAAACCAAGGACCTTTGGTACCAAAGACTGTTATTAGTTGAATTGAGCTAAATTGCTCCAAGCCCTCTTTCTGAGCCCTTGTCACACTTTCTGCCCATAGCTGTTTCAAATCACATGAGTGTACTCCGTGACTATTTATTCATATAGCTGAAATCTCGTTGAAGCACCTTCGGTATGCGACGCCATCATAAAGATGACGAAAACGCTCGATTGCGGGCAGTTCCATCGTCCCGGGTCGCCCTGAGCAAACATTACTTAGGGCACAAATTTCTGACGTCAGACTTGTGCATGCCCATCACCTCTTCAATGAGGCTGGGATGGAATCACGCCATGCCAGAGTGTTCGGGGGTTTGTATAGATTGGGATATTACCGTCGGCATGGTCAATAATGAATCGTGGATGGACGTGACACTCATAAACCTCTCGCAAGCTCCCATTGACTTGATTTTCAACCGCAAGGCCCGCCGGCTGAACGTGTTCCTTCCTGCCGAGGATGTCACAAAAACCTGAGAGGCCATTCTCTCGCCAGGAAGATGAGCGTTGCTAATGTCAAAGAGAAAGTTGCTTGGGTTCCAATATCGCTGGGAAGAACGTATTCGACCTGTATCTTATTCGCCCCGTCTTTGTTCCCGATTCAAGTCTCGGTGAGACCTGTGACAACCAACAACACTACCGCGGATGGCCATGACCACCGAAGCCAACTCGTGCCTTGTGTTTTTCCTTCTCGACCTCGTTTGCTCCATTGACCCTGTCGATTCCCACATCCATGTCTCGCTTGGTGTCGCAAGCCGCCATTGCCTTGGTCGCGCTGGCCACATCATTGTTGGGCCCAACAGGCTCCGCTTCCTGTCGCAGCCCCATGTCCTTGATTTTCAATGCTCGCAGTCAGGTTTGGGGGGCTGCCAAGTCGGCTAAGCCTTCGCATTGTCTTGCGAGATTTGCCTTGTCTGGGTGTCTCAGGAGACGCGTGAGGCTTGGCGGGGGCATCTAGTTCCGTCATATCAGGCTTTTCATCTGACCTTTCGAGTCGGCTAGGAATATTGGGCCAAGATGCTCAGGGATTGGTTCGCCCACGTTGCCTTGCTCTCATACCACGGCCCAAGCATGCTAAAGTACATGCGTCCGACGTAGGTCCACGACCTGTGGCCATGCCCTTTTACAGCGTATTGGCTGAATACTTCCAATTCGCGAAATGTCGGACGCTGACTGTGCTAGTCAACATGAGTCTCATAACGTGACACCACCCGTCGGGTCGACTTGCAGCGATTGGCACGGAGCTGTCTCGGGCTGTTGATCTTTTGATCCTCGGTGTTGCAAACGCGGCCACAGTACCTAGGCCTGGGTACCTTGATGTCTGGTATTACTCGGCTCGCTATACAATGCTAGTAGTAAAGTTGTTGCCTGCAAATTGGCTGCCTTTTTTGACCGCCTGCTTATATAAGTAAGGCGCTGCTTTTAAAGCTTTTGAGCTTTATTTTTAACCTTTTAGTATTTTAAAAAGTTTTTTATAAAATTAATTATTATGTTGTGTCGGATTGCTCTGAGTTTTTCGGGGTGTGACTCACGTGGTCGCGAGTCGCCGTTATTATTACGTCTCTAACACGTAGAGTTTATTACAGGCTTTCGCCGGCATGTAAGGTCATAAATTACCTTTTAAGCTAGTAGATTTAATGTATTATAATACGTGTACTGTTTTTTAAATTATATGTTATTATTAAATTAGCTAGGTATAGCTACTAATTGTTTTACTAGTGGGTCCTGGTAATTAACTAGCCTTTTTTTAATTTATTTTATATTAATTTAATTAATAAAATTAATTATTAATTACATGTATTAGGGCTGCTTCAAGGCAACTGCCATCTCAATTGAGTGCAGGTGTGTCGTCTTGGGTCACATCACATCCTGGTGCAGACACGTGAGAAAAACGTCAAGTTGTAAAAAACCCGCATTAGCTGCCGTCCACAAGTGCCTTGACTTACTCGCGGCGACATTCATTCTGCTAGGTATCCTAATCCAGATATCCTATCCACCCCGGTGGCGTGTCAAGTCCCGCAAGCGTATTCTCGGAGTGTGCCCGAGCTGACAATTCGACACTCGGGGGGCCAATACTCGGTATTGGACACGAAAGTATCAAAAATACCCGAGTCGTGCGAGATGCTAGACGAGAAACTTGATCAACGCACCAAACTCATGTCCCTTTAACGCGAGCCGAAGCCGATACGACAACATGCAACTAAAAAAACAGTTGATACCCCCCTAGGATACCTAGATTGCTAGAGGCTAGTAGAGCTTGCCCCCCTAAACCTTGTCAGGTTACGGGTCAAGTAGTTAATCATTCAAGGGTTGGAGTGTATAAACCTCTAGTCATCTTTTATACTCAAAGAGCAAAGAGGGTAGCGTTTCGAGGGCAAGCGCCGTCAAGTCGTAGCAGCGTCTTCCTCCTGGGCGTATAACCGTTATGCTATTGCTCCTGCCCATGGCAAAAGTCTGGTGGAATGCACACTCCGATGCCCCTTGATTGGTACCACTGACACATGCAGTATAACTGTAGGCTGAGTCCAGTCGTGGGCCAGGTCGCGAGTAATGCCTCGAGTGTTACGCGTCAGCTAGCATCATCATCACGGCACATAGAGACCTTTCTCCTGTATATGCTATGCTATCCATTCTTTCCGCATAATATATACTCAGTGGGGGAGATTGCGGTACCAAGAGATCAAGTGGGCGAACCGATTATGCTGTCCAACATGAGTCAGGTCATGAGTTGACTGTTGTTGTGTCAAGTGTTACATAGGTCAAGTATATAAAGACAGTCAGGACTCTCCCTTCCATGGCAAGCAAAGAGTCTTGCAAGCAACCAACATTCATTCAGTTCACCAGTTACATTTATATCCTACTACAACACCTTCATCATGAGCTTCTCCATCACCCCACGCGTCCTTCCCCTCTTGTGCTTGGCGGTTGCATCTGTCGCCGGCCAGTGGACGGGAAATTACAACACGACGAGCGTCGATAAAGGTATCGACCCTCCCGGGAAATGCTGGATTGAAAGCCTCGACCCGTCCAGAGGCGCAGCCACGGCCATCTACCCGTGCACCTGCACCGGCGGCACCGTCTGGCCCGACTGCAACTGGAGGGACTTTGCGCTTTACAACAGTGTCAGGGATGCCAAGTGCAAGTGTTCCACGGCGAAAAGAATGAACCCAGAGCCCGAGAGCCTGCAGAAGTATGCCCAGGACACTCTTGCGGCCGTGACCAAGTGCGTCTGTGATCCCCCGGCCGCCGGCAACGAGGCCGCCGACACCGATGGCTTGGTTGTGCCGGCTCCCAACTGCTGGTGCCCGGCCGAGTCTCTTCAAGAGAAGAGCGGCTTGTCCGAGGCCAAGGAGGCGCCGCCTCCTGCCCCTGCCGTCGAGCAACCGCAGCCAGAGAAGCAGAACGAGCAGCAATGTAACGAAATTCGCATGAAGGCGTTTAGAGATTGCCGAAGCAAAGACCCTTCCGACTTTAATAAATGCGTTCAGGAAGGCCGAGATGCGTTCGTTAAGTGCAGAGGTGGTCAGTAATATGCACTACAAAAGGACAGCCATACGATAGTTTTGAACACGGCTGTTAGCAAAGGTTGCTTTTGTTTGCGGAGAATTCAATATGTATTAAAGATATTAGCATTCTAGTATTAGTCGGCTAATAGCTTGCGTCGTGGATCAACTATAAACGAAGCAGAACAAAGCGAGCCTAGAATAAAGAGATTTTGCTTGACTAAAAAAATCTGATCCGTGAACGTCCAAATGGCGGGAGACAGCCTCAGGCAGCGGAAGGTGTATGGGCAAAAGGCAAGATAGCTTCAATGTTGATGAATGGAGTAGCGGGGTGAGGCGGGATACGGGTGGAGGATGGGTGTGACAAGCCAGGTCAAGAGTTTTTGTTCACTGGGGCGGGGTTATTGTCTTGGCTGCCATTCTCACGTTGGCAAGAGGTTGTAAACCGTAACCGGTTGATCGTAGAAAAGGATCTGATAGCAGCGGTTTATTAGAGAGAATACTATACGCATAATAGGGTGGAGTTATAAGAATACCAACTTAGATTTTCTTGCTTTATATACTAATATGTTCTGGCGCTTCTATTAATTCGTATATTGGAGGGCTTACAAAACTTCGAACCGAGCATAAAGGATCATATTGACTTTCCTAGGTTAATAAAGCCACAGTCCAGCCGTCAAACAGACTATAACCCTAACCCTAGTGCGTTGGACTTGCCCGTGTTAGTCGGAAGCATTTTATCATGGACCTCGGCCACCCGGTGCATCCATCAACCTTTCAGATTAGAGGAGCTTCCCACTTTAGCAGGGACATGTGTATTTTCAATCTCAAGAATTGTTAAGCATTCCACTAGCTTGTGAAGTTGTGCCCATGCTTACCTTGAGCCTCTATGGCGTACCAGCTGCACTCTGCCACAATGGCAAGGGTGATGAAGAACTGATTGGCCACGACTCGATAATTTCCGTCTATATATCACATGATGAACAAGCATCACTATTAACGTCTCTTAAGAATCGTTATAAACGACGGCACCATAACGACGGGCATTGTCTGCGGTTGTTGTTGCGTACTTTGATCTGTGCAAATTGTGTCTTGCCTTGAAGTACTGCTGACATGTTGCTCGAAACTAATAAGAGATAAAGGCAAAGACTAACCACTACCAATATTATATGTAGTGTTAGGAATAATGGAAGGCTGGACAGAATAAATAGGTTATTAGTTGTTATGCTTGGTAACCCCCTACTTCATCTTCAATAACTAATCATGTAACGTTTCGTTCACACAGAAATATGGCATTCTTTCTTCTTTTTCTCTTCGTTTTGTCTCTCTTTTTTTTTTCAGCTTTCCGCATTATTAATGCATCAAGTTGCGTCAAGGACGCCAGGCAGTGTCACCAGTTTGGCATCAGCACATCTGACACTTGTAAATAATCATTACTCCTGGACCACAATAGTCTCTTGGTTACTTGTCTGGCCAAGACTAATTATTTGATTAGTTGCTCAGGTTCGGCAACATGTGGAGGCTGTGGATCTTGCCTTGATTAAGGGTAGATGCGCTGTCACCGCCGTTCTTTATTTCTCTTTACTCCATCATAGCTCAGCCTCTGGGCAGGCAACTTTGTTTCACAAGTGCTGGGCCACGCAATCACTCTAGGCAGCCTTGTACCGTGCGATCACCTGCAGGAACATGACATGGGTCTGCAAACTGCAACTCGACATCGGCCCACCGCCGGAACTGGCCATGTCCGTTCGGTTTGTGGCGGAGTGATGGGGAGATCAGTTCGTAAAAGGTGGAACGATGCGGGAAACCACCAGGCACACAACCAAACCAATTGGCCCTTTTATTAATAAGGCCTCGGCTCCGTTCAGCGGGACTCGTGCTTTTCCTGTTTATTAAAGACATTGTTATCGCCAATTTGGCCGCACTCACCACTCGACCATGGCGCCGGCCATGTCACACAGAAACCGTCTCTGGTCTCGGAGCGAAATAGAAGGACTGATAGCGGATGGGCGAAAGATAATCATATTTCGTGGCCAGGTGCTAAAGGCCGACGCATGGCTTCCATATCATCCGGGCGGGGACAAATCAATATTGCACATGGTCGGCCGCGATGCCACGGACGAAATCGCAGCACTACACTCGGCGGAAGCGCAGGCACAAATGCAGAAGTATGTGATAGGAAGAGTCCACGGAATGTGGGAAAACTTTCTGCCCCCGATACAGGGAGGAATATTTAGACATCCCGTGTCCAAGAATGACGGCGACGAAGCGTTATCCGCCGAAACAGATGCCAGCTCATCTGGAACATCCACACCATCATCGACCGTCTTCGATATTGGACAGGCAGGAGACCAAGTTCGCCTGAGGCGTACGGGTAATGATACGCCTCTTTCTACAGCGTCATCGCTATTCTCGTCAGAGACGGAGCCGAGGCAGTTCAGCCATGTGGAAACGTCAACAGCCCACGCCATATCAACAGATGTTTCTAAATATCCTCTTCTCGACAAAATGTCACAAGACGAGGTTGCCTTAAAATACCGCCAGCTCGATGAGAAACTGCGATCCAAAGGCCTCTACCAGTGCGAATATAGCTACTACGCTGTCGAGTTTGCCAGATACTCGATGCTTTTTGCTCTCTTCTTAACATTTCTTCACTATTCGTACTACACCCTTTCGAGCATTTGCCTGGGTTTATTCTGGCACCTACTTGCCTTTGCGGCTCACGACGCCGGCCACTTGAGCATAACACATGGATTCCACACCGACAGCTGCATCGGCATCTTTATTGCAGATTTCCTCGGAGGCCTTTCAGTCGGTTGGTGGAAACGAAATCACAATGTGCACCACATCGTAACCAACTCGCCTGAGCACGACCCAGACATTCAGCACATGCCATTTTTCGCCATTTCTTCTCGATTTTTTTCTTCCCTCCGCTCGACGTACTACGACCGTGTGATGAAATTCGACGCCGCGTCTCAGTTCTTCATCAAGCATCAGCATTACCTCTACTATCCCATCCTGTTAATGGGTCGTTTCAACCTGTACCGCCTGGCATGGCTATATCTCCTAGATCCGGCGCAGGCGCCGCGTAAAGGCCCGGCGTGGTGGCATCGCCATCTCGAAATGGCCGGCCAGGCCTTTTTCTGGTACTGGTTCGGCTACCGGACATTATACCTCTCGATCCCGACGTGGTCGTCCCGCATCACGTTTCTGCTCATCTCGCACATGGTCACCGCGCCGTTGCACGTACAACTCACACTCAGCCACTTTGCCATGTCGAGCGCCGATCTGGGTGTCCACGAGTCGTTTGCCCAGAAGATGGCGCGGACGACCATGGATGTCGACTGCCCTCCCTGGCTGGACTTTATACACGGCGGCCTCCAGTTTCAAGTCGTGCATCATTTGTTCCCTCGTCTCCCGAGACATAACTTGCGCCGCGCCCAAAAATATGTCAAGGAGTTTTGCGACGATGTTGGGATTCCCTATGTGATATTTAGCTTTACGCGGGGGAATAAGGAAGTCATTAGCAGACTGGCCGAGGTTGCCGAACAGTTAAGGGTGTTAGAGGAATGCAGAAAAGTTGCCGCAAAGGATTTGATTCAAGGCCACCACCGTCAATGATTTTTTTTCCCAAAACATAATCAAGGAAACAGCATCTGCAGAATGATGAACATTCGAGAGTAGTAGTCAAGGAGCGGACGGCTGCATAGCATAGCATCTGTGAATTATAGGTGACGAACAGGCAGCGTGTTTCGCTTAAATCTAGTTACCAATGCAGAGGCCAAAGGACATTTTGTCCAATCTGGTTGCCATTGATGGCCCGTATGAATTAGGGCTTCTGCATTTGAGATACCCATTGACTGCTGTATAGTGAGATGCTCAATGGCCTATTCCACATCTGCCTGTGATGAGGGCTCTGTAGAGGGCAATAGCTCAATTCATCAAATAACAGCGAGTCTTTGGTATCAAAGGTCCTAAGTTTCTTCCAAGGCCCTCAGGCAGAAGACCCTTATTTGTACAACGCGGCGGTGAGTCTACGGGCCCTGGCGTTTCGTGATCATAGTCCTTGTGTAATATCGGTTTGACGCTTCCTTTACGGCAAAGTTATGCCAAAGCTATTATAATACCTCTTTTCTGAGCCTATATAAAGTAGATTATAGCCAGCTAGTTTTTAGATCTCTGTGTGTGGATGAAAATCACCCAAGCTATTGCAGTGCTTGCTATTAGCGTGAACACCAACAGGTTATATCAGGATGAGATGGCAAATTCAGGCAAATAACCCTGCCCGATCTTTAGGGTTAGGGTCAACTACGCAGTGTTTTCGCGGCGCCGGCAATTTATTTGTCCTTTTTCGCCTTGGTTTAATAGCCAATAAATGCAACTAATGGTAGATATTGGCCGTTTTCTGCCCTTTGGTTGTTCTCGATCCTTTTATTTTCTGGTGACTCTACTACGGAGTAGATATTCAATACCTAATGGCATGAAAAGTTGAATTTATTGCTTTTTATTGATATGTATTTATTAATATTGCGTGGGGGTTCAGTGGCATGACCAAATCCGGACAATCTTCATGAAAGCAGCGTTGTGCATGTGGCCTTATGCATATATTGATCTCCCAGCCGACCTAATCACATATGGCGATATGCATATGTACAGCTCAAGGAGACTTGCTTACTTTATGTCCCCTAGCACCTCAAGAAAAATAATCTCTCATTTTCCTTGTCCGCCTCCAAGTTCTATACACATACTTCGAGTTACTGTGCTTGCCCCATCTCTTCCTCTGCGTCATTGCCTCGTTATACAGCTTGTCCGCCCGAATCCAACCTCGACACCATGGGAAGCAGTCATTCTTCTTTGGTGACTTCCGTGTCTGCAGTCCCCTCGGCAACGGCTCTTGTCCCGGGGCAAAGGGCACCTACTATCTTCCCAAGCAGCACATTACACTCCGCCGTTGTTTTTTCCGACGACTTTGAGGGATCGGCGCCCCAATTCAACCATTCACGGTACCGAGTCGATGGCAGTGGCTCGATTACCGCAGTGACCAACCCTGTTTTCCACGGCCAACAATCGGCCAAGTTTACTGTGCCCAATGACGGGGTCTCTTGGCGATCCGAGATAGCAAAGAATTCCCTAGGATATGGATCCTTCTCCTTCTCATTCGTCAATTATCTTCCCACAGACTGGGTAGATACGTCCGTCAACACCATCGTCGCCCAGTGGCACGGGTTTCAACTCACAAACGGCCAAAATACGAATCCTCCAATCGCGCTCTCTGTCAAGGATATGCGGTGGTTACTAGTGGTGCACCACCTAGAGAATCCGAGCGACAGCAAACCAAAGGCTCGATGGTACGACCTTGGTCAAACCACCAAGGGTACATGGACCCAATGGGATTTTCGGATTGATTGGTCTCGTCCGGAATTGAACGGCACAGTAACGGTTATTCTCAATGACAAAACTGTTGCTGTGCACAAAGGTTCTAATAACTACCACCAAACTGAAGCTCCGTACTTCAAGCAAGGCATATATCGGCCAAACTGGAATCCCGACAAGGGCTTGAGCTATTTGACCGGTGGCCCATCTGTCGTTGTCTACTGTGACGATCTGGTTGTGACCAAGTTGCACGAGTAAGAGAAAGGACACTTTGTGAACCAGTTGACCTCTTATCCTACGCCCTACATTTATGTTATTGCTACACGGGTAGGACTCAACAACAAAGCCCGATAAAGAGGCATTGCTGATAAAGGGCCTCAAGGTTACACAGACTGCACACATGACCTAGTAGAAACCCTAGGTACAGACGCTCTCTTCTTGTATATATAGTAGTTGCTAGCCCCTTTATTTCTTTTAGGAAACTAAGGACCTTTGACATCCTACGAGATTATCTTTGAATTGAGTCATTACACTCCAAGCCCTTCATTAAGCCCTTGCCAGTTATGCTTCTCAAGTTTAAAGGGTTGGGTCAAGTAGGCTTTAACACAAAGAACAGTGTGTTGCACAAAAGAATAAACGTATACAAGGCGCTTGTGGTGATGTTAGCTTTTGCGGCTAAGCAGATTTACAGATGAGACCACTCAGAATTTAGCAGTAGAAGAAATATAGCGTCAATTCTTTACTACATCTCTAGCTGACAAGCCAAACCTCCACAGCCTGCAAAGTAAATGCATCAAAAGTTTGTCTCTGCATTCGCATAACAGTGCAGGGAAACCTAGCCAATCTCCTAGGACAAAACCTGCACCGAGACCTGCATCATGTCTGCCGGACCACTTCTCATGAGCACCTCCTTAGTTTTGTCTGCCATTGCGGCTCCTAGATGCACTTGCCAAAGGTAGGGGAGCCTCTTTGTTGATCGCAAATCTTGCCCTTGGGGCATTCAGATGAAGTTCGGCAAGCTAGATCCTATGAGTGAGCTATGAAATGAAAAAAAAAAAAAATGCAGGAAATGAATTCATACCCATAGCTGGCGAAGCCAACGCGAGCCAAGCGACGGCGGCGAGGATGATCTTGGACTGGAAGAAGTTCATGATGTCTTGGAGGAAATGGGAGCTTAGTAGGCTAGCTTTTGAATTGAGAGTTTGAGAACGGTTGTTTGTGTGTTGTGATGATTTCAAGAATTTTGTTGGGATTGCTCCTTTATTTATACTCCATTGCTGATGTACATCTCAAGACGTATACAAGTCACAGTCGAGAGTGCATCGAATGCTATAGCTTCAAACGGCAGTTGAATTCCGCCAAAGTCCCGGGCAATTGAGTATTTGAAACTCTATTTCCTAAACCCTCTTCAAATTGGCCACTATTTGTCAAGTCGGGTAGTATTGTGACAAATATCATGCCGAGTTCCGACTCTATGATCGTACATGAAAGCCGAGCACCCGAGCATCAGATAACGGGGCAGAGCCAATCATCTCTACGGTGCTATGTGTCGGCAAGGCCCCCAGCGACGTCCACTTGACCTGTGGATATTATTATTTGCCGAGAGTGGAGGAGAAGCCTCCTAGGGTTGCCATCTCTGTCCATCTTGTCAATAATGGAACGGTTATAAGCCCACTGTCATCCTACCCAGCCAATACGCGCCGGCGAACCACCCTGCATATCTCCTGTGCCTGGCAAATAACATCGATTACCGTGAAAAAGAGTCCCAATTGAGAAGGTCTGTACCGGGGCAAGTTTGACATCGTACATGTGCATTCACTGAGACGAAGCTGATAGGAAGGCAATCGCGGTTATTTGGCGTATTTTAATTATAGTCGGTCGATTTCAACGTCATAGAATTGATTTAGTTGGTCCAGAAGCAGTTGATCAAGCCATCGCGTAACGGAGAACTATGTACGATTATCGCCACGCTCATGTTGTTACACGGAAATCGCTGGTTACACAAGGGCTACGGTCACGAGACCTAGGGCAAAGTCCCTCACCGACTTCTTGTATTAAAGACGTCTTTGACCTTCAAGGCCTTGAGGAAAACCAAGGACCTTTGATACCAAAGACTGCTATTAGTTGAATTGAGCTATTGCTCCAAGCCTTCTATGTTGAACCCTTGTCACACCAAGACTCTTGGGCTTCGAGTGCTGCCTTCAGACGGAAAGGATATATGTAATCAACAGTAAGAATCGTATTGAAGTAGGCAGAAGAAGTTCCAGGGAGCGTCCGAGTTAGGGTGAAGGGATATGGTCCGATATACGAGGGTCACACATGTTAGAGATGGTCATTTGCTTTATTCTCCTCCGTAGATCTGTTGCATGTCCAAAGACGCGAGCATCCATAATGCAGTAGAAAAGACGTGCCACTGCGCAAATTCCATGACCCCCGGCTCTACGTTACGGTGCGTCACACTCGGACATGGCCTTGAACTTGGTTCCGCTTCGGTATAGCGGTATATCTAGATACTTAATTTTGTGTGGCATGGGCACCTGAGTCTTCTGCCATGGATGCTAGCAACATGACTTCACTACAGCCTCCCCGAGCCTGCCTCAAAAAGTTCAAATTTAGGCTACACGAACCATTCTTAGCTGTTTTTTTTATGACGGCCCCCTATGCCCACGCTTTTGCTCCAAATATTGCAATGGCCAAACTGCAACTTTACAGCCCAACACCTAGTCCAGTATCGTGAGCCCCTCATAGCCCTGCGTCTCGAGCACCTCGGTGTCCACCACGAAAATTGCCATGAACTTTGCACCTTCCACCTTGCTATTATTCTCACCAACAGTATGGTGACAACCTGGCAGCTCGACAAAACTCTCGCCAGGATGGTAGACTTTTGGTGGGTTGCCGTTCATGCCGCTGAGGACCTGACCCTCTTGGATCACAGCAACGACGGTAGCGCCGCCATGGCGATGGGGCGGCGTGAATCCATTGGGAGGGTATTCAAGCTGAACCCCAACAATGGATTTCCCGGGCGCATTGGTGAGCTTGTGGTCGAATATAATGCCGAGACTTTCTCGGGGACGGGCACTACTGGTGTAAGTGAGGGTTAGAGCCGTCTGACCGGTGGCGCAACTTACGAGCTGTCTTGGGTTGACTCCATGGCAAGATTGCTTGTATATTAATTAGGTGAGTAAATTTGGTTTTCTCTTAATGATGGGAAGAAATCGTGTGGAATGGTGAAGATGATTTCTCCTCTA